AAGATTAAACGACTTAATAAAATAAGTTACATATAATGACAAAAGTAAAAATTAAGATGTGTTAAAAACTTTCAAAAAAGCACATAAATAGATCAATTAAATTAATTAATCAATATTCTTTAAGCAATCACAACATCGTGTTACACAATACTCCATTATATAATAGTCGTATCATTTACTTATGACAAGTAACCCCGTAAGAATTTACTAATCATATAGACGTTTGTGGTAATACCTTGAATATTACAACACTGACGCTCAAGTGAACGTTAGGTAACCCAGGTGTTCTATCAGAAATACTGGGTCACTGACTAGGCGTCTAGGTCCAACTGGTTCTATACCCCAGCATACCAGTTTCCAACGCGTAATGATTTTGCATAACTCTGATTAGTCGTTTCTAATATTAGCTTACCTCTAAGATAACAATGGAATGTTCTATTAATTACTTTAAAAAGTTTTTATGAGCCGCCTGCGGGTTGTAACAAAATTAAAAAAAAAATTCAACAACTAATTTATAATTATTAATAAAAATATCGTCTGTCCCGTGACCATGAACGTTGGAAAGGGTTCGAAAAGTTGAGACTTTAAAAATCTATAATTAATCGCGATAAAATCCGTAAAAAAATTTCCTTTAACAAATAAAAATTAATTTAATTTTTTCTCCGCCGTTTTATCCGCTGAATGTACGTATTCCGAAACGTTATTTATGGCTTTATTACATAGATACTCAATTAAAACAAATTGTTCCTAATATCTTCTCAACAAATGTGTTGACACGTCGTTTATCTCAACAAAAGCAAAGGCTATTCTTTCGGTAAACAATCAATGAATTTAATCACTTAATTTAACTTCACACTCTGTTATACTTGATATTACAGATACTATTTTATGATAAGACAGACTTTTAACTTCTTTATGTGAAATGTTACAAGTTTTTCAACTCTTATTTTCACAAGTACCACTGGAGATCCGCATATATATATCATTCATTTCTACATGTCGCCATGTGTATCTTCTCATTAATTAATTTCCTTACCATAAGATAAAATTTAAACTTTAATACTTTAATTCCCATTCATCTCCCTTATAAGCTCTGTTTACCGGTTAGGGTCAAAAGAAATTGTTCATTTTATTCGTACAATCTTCAATCTCATTCGGGAACTGAATTTGATTTGGATCCTTCAGCAAGTCCGCTCCAGTTTCCCTCATGCAAAAGGGCCAATCAACCACCGCACTCACTTCTCGCATCAATAAATCAATTCGATTTGGAGCGCTGTCAACGCTTTAATCAGCGCCTTATCCGTGGATAAATTATTGCTCGTCGGCGATGGGAGCGCTTTTTCGCTGCACGAGACGAATCGAAACGCGGTAAAAAGCCGCGCTCATCGATAATGGCGCGCCCGGGCGTCGTTATCTGTGGAACCGTTTTGTTGATATATTTCTTTCGCGTCCATTCAATAGGCAGTTTTCTGGGAGACTTCGTAAATATTATTCGATAAGAGATTTTTGTGGGGAAGTTACTAAACTGCATAGAGTAAGTAGCTCGTTGATGGGACGGTGTATACGCTTTTACAACAAAATCCCAGTTAATGTGCAAAGCCTGTCTATTAACAGGTTTAAGAAATTTTTAAAAAGGGTTATTATCATATTTGATCGGAGTGAATGAATACATTAAGGATAATAACCCCTGGGGATGAGATGATCGCTGCCAAGCTGTTTATAAAAAAAAAGTTACATATGGTACTGTATAAAATTATAATAGTTGGAGGAAAAAGCGAATGACAAAAAAGAGGATGCCTACTGAGATTCTTTCGCCTGTTTCTTCTCCATTAGAACAACCTCATAACGAAAAGGTGGTAAATATAAAAAAAAGGCCTATCGATAGATGAAATTTATATTTCTTATTTCGATGAATAAATGATTTGATTTCATTTTGACTTACAGTACTGACTCCCGACTGACTAACTAATTAATCAGAATAATGAAAAGCCGATTGTTATATTGCTTTTTTACCAACAGGAGCAAGCGCTGATCACTCACCATCGATGGTGAGTCAAAGTCAAATTCAAAAATCAAAGTCAAATAATCTTTATTCAATATAGGCTTAACTAAAGCTCTACCAACAAAAAATCTACCACCAGTGAGTAATCATTACCGGTCATCACATCATACGGAATTTCACATCGCCGGTGAAATTAACGTTTAAGAGTTCCCTAAGTCCTATGTCCGTAATTGCCAAAAATATTGAGCTTGGCATAAAACTTCTTTCGGTTTTGCACTGCCAAGTATCAAGATTGCTACCAACATTGTAATATTCTATTCAGTGAACTTTTACCTCGGAAATCCTTTAAATACGTATAACTGATGACATATTTAAACTGTTAGCACTTTCTTTAGAAACATACAATATAAATGACTTTTTTTTTAAATATCATATATATATAACGAACGATTGTGTCGATGCACTTAATTATGCCCGTTCGGAGCCCGTTTGAACCGACATTGACCCGCTAAATATAGCCCATGAGTAAAGAAACACATTATTTATTAGCTCGTCCCTTTGCGAGCCGGCAAAATCAATTATGGCCGCGATTAGCAAAAATACGCGAGGCGTTCCCGCGCTAAAAGATGTCGTCCGTCATGTTGGCGCTATTGCTTTTTTAAGTGTGGCCAGTGTTTTGCTTTTTATAATAATTCAAGCCGCGGTCTCCGATAATTTATCGCTAAAATCGTTCCCTCGACGATTTTAAACGAGCGTAAGGACCGACAAAAAGATGAAACTGCCCGTTTATTCTGTAATGACATCGAAGACTAAGTATTGCATACACAATAAAAGCTTGTAATAACAAAGTTTACAATTTACCCGACGAAAAAATTCTGTATGACCTACTTACCTATTTTATTTTTGTGTTTTTTAATTGATGTTTTGGTATGAAATGTCAATTAAAAATCAATCTTGTTGGCGCTGGCAAAACTATATACCGGATATGACGTTATCTACTCGAGCCAAGGGACACATGGTCGCATGGAGCAGCGGTCACTTGGATTTCGGCTGCGTTCCCGGACGGTGATACAACCACTAGTGCTACTTGTCGTTATAATAGTTTTTAATATTCAAGTTCAGTAATATTTAAAATATTAGAATCAAGGCAAAAACGTTAGAACTCTAATAATCTTTAGTAAATTTCAATTAATTATTTGGTTAAAAACATCTTATGTCTATTCATATAAACTATTTTACCTTTATAAAATAATTTCTTGTGTGTTTTATGCCCTTTTTTCCACGGTATTTTCAGTCAATATAGTTACGGCCATGCAAAATCACAACCTCAAAGAGACGGATTCATACTACTGCATAACGTCCGGTGAGTGAGGTAATCGGAGACTACATCCGCAGGTCTGGCAACGCACCTGCAACCCCTATGGTGTTTAAGATGCCAATGAGTGGCGCTTACAGCTTACCATGATGAAACACTTTTCGTCCTCGTCGTTAGATGTCGCTATTTGTATTTTACTTTATACAAGCAATTATTTAGGAAACTGAACAATGCTTGCCGTTTTCCTAGCTCATGGTATACATAAGCTCACTAAAACTCATTCAATATAAAAGAAGAAGTTCTATTAATGTTATAAGTTGGCATTTTTTTTTTATTTTTAAAAGGCCCATCAACAACTGTTTACACTATATCTTAATATTCTACTGAGACCTCTCTTATTCATTTTAATTCAACAGACTTGTTTAGTAAGATTCGAACGTTATTGCCAGACGCAAATATGATTTTATAGGCAATGTCACTTTTGTAACAAAATTGACGTTTCTAAAGGGACCTTCATCTCGGCTTACTAGACGGGACCATACACAATAGCGCACTAGAAAGCAACCGCGATCGCAGCGCCGCGTAAAAAGGGACAACAATTAAAATAAGGAACCTAGTACATATGTCCCTTCCAGTTCTCGGCTCTATTCAAGTGTCGCCCGTAACGAGCCGATCCCCGATAATGCTTTACATTCTCCGTACGCTTGTTAGTGCCCCATTCGGTAAACTATGGCCAGGGTGCGACCTTATCGCGTTCACGCAGAGGCGATTATCGCATATTCGCGGGCAATTTGGAGAGATAACTCAGCGCCGAACTAGACGCGGGGTTGGTCGTGAATTTTTCGCCCGCCCCGACAGCCGATCGCTATCGCGTCGAGAAATAAAAAGAGTGAAGTATTGTTAGGAGATGCGAATACGTCTCGTGTAATCTGGACGTCGGGATTGAGAATGTTTATTACGAGGAGTGATTTTACGCATCGAAAACCACATAGTTAGTCTGTATAGGCTTTATGATTCTGTTCTATTCAATCTGATTTAGTTGAGTGTAAAGATTTCTTTTATTTATATACATATAATTATAATGATTGCTTGTCTAAACCCAGGCTTTTTACGAGCACTGTACCCGATGAGCCTTTTCATAGTCTACGGAATGAAAGCGTAAAAGCCAGTGAGATAAATAAAATTTTAATATTGTAACAGAATTCTATTGAAACTTCAACAAATTTATTTAATAATTATTGTTATACGAATATTTAAATTCAAATATGTCTTAGAACATGCTTAGAACTTATTTATTCGTCAAACCATTGTCAACATAGTGAAATAGATAAAGACAATGTACGTACATACACTTTTTAACGTAACCAGTATTCGATAAAACATTTAAAGCGATGATAACACATCGGAACGTGTCTGAAAATATCAAAGAGAATTGTTACGCGTAATTAAAAATAACAACCGTGACAATACGCGCATAATACTTTATGGCATGCTCCCAACCTTGAATGTCGTCTCCAAGATACAATACTGACTACCGATAAAATATATTATATATTAAGTAAAAATAGTTTAACACAGGAATTGCCTGTGTCTTTTATTCTATCTCTACGTAATAATTTTGTGGTACAGCAAGACTTATGCTTTTCTTAAGAATGCCTTGCATATGTATATATCTGAGTTTACCTTAAACAGTTTTTTTTTCTATCACCGATTAAAATGGCGGACAATCACGGATTGGAGGAAGAACCAGCTTCATCGCATCGTTGTCTTAACTGCAACAAAGAAAAACGCAATTTGAATTACGCTATTTAGTAAATGTACATATATTGCTATATTTAACTTACATAAATATCACTATGAACTAAACCGATACAAAATAATTTAGATATTAATGAAAACTAATTCAATGATGGATATGAAACTGCATTCTACATGATTCCAAAATTTAACTAATCCATCATTGGATGAGATTCATGTGACTGCATTAAAAACATTTTATAAAATAAAAAAAAAATTTGATTTTTAGGGGGATGAAAAAATTTTATTTACATAAATCACAAAAATCCTTCTCCAAGCGTCTCAAAAGTTTTACCTTTTCCAAGCGTCTCAAAAGTATACTACAATCTGAAAATGTTCATTATTACCTCATCACAATGTCAAAGTAACGTGATAAAATATTCGTATTCGTTATGGTAACGGTGAGAAAAACAATCAAAACCATTAAAATTCTGAGCGCTGGCCAGTAGAAAAAAAAGTCGGGGCGGTATAAATGAATAAGCAGAATATCGTCTGCAAACAATGCCTTCAACAATGGCAAACATAACGCCCCTTCGGCCGCTCAAATTCACAATTACTAGATAATCTGTGGCAATAAAAGTCGGCCGTTGAAGAAACAATGCGCCCGCGTGCTGTCACCAAGACACGTCGCTCAGAGGCTCCCGTTGCCAACCCTTTGTATGTAGATGCGATGACGGGACCACAATGGAACCAGCATGTGATGACACCTTTAACGCCTACCGGTCTTTTGTTATGGAACTTACTTAAGGATCTATTGTAGTTTAGGAAATGTTATCTGTCATATGTACTGGACTGCATATAGACACGCCACCATTTAATGTAGCGAATCCTGAGAACCGTTGACTTCGTAGAAGCGGCTCTAGTGTTTTGACAATCAAAAATGTTACATTAATCGATACTAAGATATCGACTATCATTTAACCATTCGCATTAACGTATTAAGGAAAACTTTTACCTTAATCGAAATATAGATTTAGAGGTTAACTGATTTAGTATTCAACGCGAGGTATAACCGAAGCTAATAAAAATCTAACCTTAAGTTCAAAAATTTATCACTATCTATCATAAAATTAATTGCACTGATTGATTGATTGTATTAATATTCTTTATTGCACACACCATGGTAAAAAAATACAATAACAATTACGTAAGGGTTGTACAATGGGCAGCCTTATTACTTAAAGCAATTTCTTCCAGGCAACCTTTGAATGGACATAATATGTAAAGACTACATATTTGCATTCCATACAAAAAACCAGTAAGTAACGGTCACAATTCATTTGATAGTATTATCAAATTGATAATTTAAAAATCGCCCAAACGATTGCCTCGTCCGGATAATTCTCGCTAAAATCGACAAAAAATTCATAAGATTGAAAGGCGACAACAGAACCGATCGATTGTAAGGCCGCAATCGCAGGGCGGAAGCCTGGCAAATAAATGCATTCCTTAATAATGTCCATGCCATTTTTGTCACGTATTACATGTATTCACCGCTGACTCACGGAACTCGGAGGCCATTGTTATTCTATTCGAGTGGAGTACAACAGTGTAAGTTGGTCTTTAGGATGCGTCCATTCACCGGTTGCTATTCCCATTTGTCTTTGGAGCAATTTACATAGCGCTTTGGGGCGTAAAGTGATGAGTGATGATCAATCTTCCAATTAAGAAGCGTAACTTGTTATGCAAAAGAAACAACTTTCATATACAAACTATCACGTCCTTAAACCTAAGGGGATAGACATATCCTTGGTGTAATCCACCGATTTAAATCCCAAAGGTCTTAATTCATGTACCCTACAATGGTACATACATTACAAATGCGAAACAGTAATTTGAACACGTAAAATTTGAATATACTAAGCCCTTGGATAAACCAGTTAGATCTAGTTCTTAGTTTGTAGCTAAGTAATTAAAAGAACAAATTCTACTCTTTGAATATAAACTTTGTTGAATATATTTTATCATTTATGTCCAGATATTTATACACTGATAAATTATTCATTGCGAAAGATTTATGTTCCAGCAATTAATTCAATAAGAATGTCACCAACAGAAAACTTCATATATCTCGCATCCTTTCCATCTCATCACCGTTAGACAAAAGTTAACCAATAACTTGTAGTCATTTGTACAATGATTGAAATTCACGTTCTCACAATATCCGCTTTGCAGACAGACTATCTATGAAGAAAGTTATTAAAAAAGAGTCGTATGTCAAATAAATCGTTCAAAACATAGTACATTCATCATATGACAGAAAAGTAATTTTCTACCAATGTTTATTAAACTTTTTAATCTTAAGAACAGTGAAATCAATAATCTGTGGACCACAATAATTCTGGTCCCAGGTGGGAAATCAAACTCAGGCATAAACATTGTAATTGTAATGATTTCTTGGATTCACAAGAATGTGGCAAATTGTGATATTACCACAAGCTCGGGGTCGTAGCCCGAGTTAACAGCGATGTTAGGACGTAAACTATAAAAACAAATTAAATTCCCGAAGCTTACAACGATGTTATAACTGTAAAACAATTTTATTTACAAACTTACTTATTTTATTAAGCTGAGAATCTTAATGTCCCGTACAAAACAGTAAACTTTGCAATGGGTGGAATATACGCAATGCCTGAAATTTTTAAGCAAAAGCCATCGTCACGACCCGAGCTTATCGTCTCATATCAAATTCCATTCGCGCTCAGAATACGACAGTTTCCAACGCACAGGCGCGTCGTTCGCTAAACTTACGTTACATTTACTGTTACGTTGCCACCAGGGCAATGCTGAATCTCGGTTGAATCCTACAGATTGTACCGTTATTATTCCACGGAGAGCAATCCTAAGACAAATCTGCGAGGATCGAACTATGGCATATGGGCTTAGAACAACGTAATAACAGTGAGGTTGAGCTTAAACAGAATAATGACCATGAGCAGCGGTAATTCTTTGCCATCTTATTTACCTCGGGACAAAATATCTCTTCGACCGACTTCAAAAAAGGAGAAAGTTCTTAATTCAACTGTATTTTTGTTTGTGTTATACCTCATTACTTTCAACTCAATGAACCGATTTTGATGATTCTTTTTTTATTTGAAAGCTGATGCTTCCCGCGTAGTTCCATATTAATTTCATTGGTATTGGATCTTGGGCTCCGGAGATTTCTTTTTGTACACAACATTTTCTAGTCCCAAACTAAGCGAAGCTTGTACTATGGGTACTAGAAAACTAATAAACTTACTTAAACATACTTTTCTTTTGTAAATAAATACATATTATACATACAGAAACACCCAGACACTAGAAAAACACCACGTTCATCACACAATATTTTTCCAGTAGTGGGGATCAAATCCACACCCTCTGGCGCAGGAGGCAGGTACACTACCAACTACGCCATTCGGGATAGTACTAGATATTTGAAGTCTGTATTGTTTTTCGTTAATAAAAAAAATGACTTATTAGGCGATGAATTTAAGATTAGGCTTTATGTGACTGGAGTGACACCAATCATTGCAACGACCAACATAATGTAAAACTAAGGTGGTCCTCGTACCAACGAGTCAATAACCTTTATGGCCATTTCTTTACTTATCTCACACGTGCCTTGGAATACAAACAGGCGGTTACGTGAATTATTACTGCATAACTCTTGCAGCAACGTGTTATTGCGCCTCTGTGGACTTTGCTTTCGTCGGCTATGTATATGGTCCAACCATCTTATTGAATAAACTGTATAGGCTATTTTGGTGCATAGGTCTTTTTATTTTGACGGCTCAAATTGCATAACGCCAGGCCAATTTTATAAATATATAATTTTAAAAAATATACGTTTCTATCTCGGCCGTCTGTCAATGTAAAAATTGTCATTTCCACCCCACTTCTTTTTTCGCCGTTCTCAGTTTTAAAAGGAAAAATAAAAAACCCAGTTCACAAAATTCAAGAAATTTTATTTCAAGAAAATCCGAAGCCATGTTAAGTCTATAACATCAAAATATCACTTAATCTTGCCTAAACAGGCTATTAAGGAGTATTCTATAAAGAATAATTAACTCTAGGGATAAGAAACTCAATAGTATAATTGATGTTATTACCGTTTTAGTGCTTGTATAGATTCAATCTATTTAGAAATCAATCATCTATGGATCTATGGAAAATCAATCTTGTGGAACATGAAACAAACATCACCGGGATCGATGTGTATACATATGTATATTATTATTAAAAAAATCATTTAAAAGTCGACCTAAACATAATATACTTAAAGGACAATTTAACACACATTGACGTTTGAAATCGCCATTACAATAAACACGTATCTAACCACAAAGTGGCGGCGGTTGTGTTTTTAGAGCGGCCGGTGCTGCAACAGACATGTTGTCATCGCACGTGACTCAATGTTTTAATAGGGACGTGGCATTCATACGCTGTAACTTCGATGTCTAACGTGGATTAAAAGACGCGTTCTCTACCATACTTTTAATTTGCCGTCCTCTCCTTTAATAGAGTCGCTGCTCTGCACGCCCTTTTGAAGTGTCAATGGGCATCCCATTAAATCTTTATTGGGAATGAAACTCTTAACTTGCCCATTAACTGCTTCTTTTTACTCGCTAGCCGGCATTTACGATTTAAGATTAATTAATTGAATTCGTTTTTAGCCTTGTCAAATTAATAAAACTGATATAACTTACGATATAAAATTTGATGCATTTTGTTTAATGTGAGAAGTTGGCAAGCAAGTGGGTGGTTCACATGATGTTAAGTGATTATCCCTGCCCATTGACATTTGCAATACCCGTAGTTACAGATGCGTTGCCACTTTATATACAGTGGGCCCCGCCTAACTCACCCACCAGACGAAACGCAGTAGTATAAAACTTCCACTTTATGCCGGTTTTCTGTGAGGTCATGGTACTTACCCGGACGGGCCTGCCCATTTGTGCAACAGCGAACACTGTTGCGTGGCCATACCATAGTGTAAACCTCGGTATTTCCAGTTTTTTTAAGTAGTATTCCTCAGAAACAGAATTTCTCAGACCGGAGAAGATACTGTTGCCCGCAAAAGCACCGCTGGCAGGAACACACACTGATGAACATGTGCGCGATATTTTTCCTGACGCTACTGCTTGGGCTACCGCTACTGGGTCCTGCCGTTGCCAGACGGTTGATCGACGACTCTTCGGCGTCTATTGTTAGTAGGGAGAGAATATAAGGTTTTGCGGCTTATGTTTATTGTTATCGAGTTTGTTTAAGGTCTTGGTAATTACCCGATGAAAACAGCACACACAAAATTCTTGTTATAATATAAATTTTGGATTTTGACGAAATCCGTCTATTCATCAAATATTATCAATGTACTGATATTATACTATTGTTACTTTTTAAAAGATGTATAAACGTTCCATGTTGTATTTATTTTATACGTGCCTTGAACTAGCTTACAGTTTTTATCTAGTGCCATTCATCGTTAATTTTAAAACATGCTAAGAGACTGTTGAAATACTAATATGCTACAAACTTACGACACTAATTTATTTCCTTTGTAACCACGTATAACAATATTTAACAACACCGACTCTATTACTTTCACGGACGTTTTTTTATGACTTCAATGAGTTTGATTATTACTTTAGCGTTCCCATCGCAATTTCTTATTTAAGATAACCGATTGCGGTAACTGGATGGCTGGGAATCTAGAAACACCAAAGACTTAAAATGTTAAATAATTGATTTAACATTTCATTTAAATAATTACGGAACTAAATTAAAAAGATAACCACCGCTGATAAAAGCTGGTGTTGATTATTTTGAATCTTAGTCAGAAATTCGTTTGGAATGAATTGAATCGACACTGCCCTCATTATTCATCACGCTCTACTTCGCAGGCCGTTTTAACAGAGGACGTCTAGTGGTCTGATGTACTCTATGTTATGCGTGGTACTCAACCGTTAAGTAACCGATTCAAGTAAATTGCTACCGTCTCTACATTTTTATTCTCTCAATAAGTGAAAGTGAAATAATACACACATAGATTTTAGATATCGGACCTCTTCCGCCGAAGCTGACAAAGCCGCCGGGCTAAAAACACAACTTCACGTCACAAAAATATACATCAGAAGCATTTGTCAGTTTAAATCTAACAAATTACAAATAACGCATAATTATAGAAAAGTAACGAACAACCCCCGCATAGACAATTATATTCCGTAATTTATGAATTTCCTTATAAATTCTCACTTTGTATAGACTGTTAGAGAGATTCATTAAGATTTATAAACAATCACATATGGTGAACTTAAAGTGAGTCTTCAATTACATAATAAAATCAAATTGTACTGGATATTTTGTTTACGTCCTGTGTCTTTGTATTAATATATTACAAATATTCACTTACGTAGACCACAGTGCCTCGCCTAAGAGGAGAGTATCAAATGTACTTTTACACTTAAACACTATATTAATACTTATACTGGATAAAGCATTAATTCATTTTATTCAGCCTTGCCTTTAACAGACTTGTT